CTACGTAAATACCCCAATATTTCATTTTTTGTGGATCGACACTGTATGGCTTATTAGCGTCTAATTGCACGATTCAATATTGACCGGCATTTTTTATTTTATTTATAAATGTTGAAAGTTCTTTTAACAGCAAGCGATATGAGTGTTACGCTGAAAACAAATAAATTTAAATGTATATAAATTTATTTTTGATTTATTTCATTTATTAATGTTTAATTTATAAATGTTTAAATAAAATTGTTTTACAAATAAATTTATTATAATACAAGTTTATTAATAAACTTATTAATTTAAATTAAACATTAAAATTTTATTGTTCGTTACGTTATTCTTTATTTGCCGCCGCTAAACCGCGCGTTTTCCGACCAATCGCGTCCGCAACTCCCGATGTAAAAACCCGATATAGAAGTTCGTATCTTCGATACCAATATGAGACATGACGCAATATATAACGCAACATGTGCAATCGACGTAGCGCGGACAGAGAAATCCCAGAAAGAACGGGGGGGGATCACTCCTCTTCCGAGATCTCTTCTCTCTCTCGCGGGAGAACTCGCAGTCGAGTTCGGTGCAGTTGAGCGACGCGGAACAGATAACAGCGGTGGCGTTGCGCACTGATAAGTCGCATAAGTTCGTCGTACCGATTCGTATCGGCGTCGCAAGTGGCAGCCCCAGAGCCAAGTAGCAAGACACCGGTATTCCGCTCTAAGAACTTCGCCGGCCTGGAAACCGCGTCCTTTTGTCGTTCGAACGGATGGACATAGTCAGACCGGAACACGGAGGATTGCTTCGCGACAGAGAAAGGACCCGAGGATTAAGTCGGGAATGGCTTTATTATATGTCCGAAACTCTCTACTCCCCTCCGCTCTCGTAACGGAACTCGTTGAGTAGCAACGATTTAGTCCGTCGCATCGGCGCCGGATGCATTTAAATAGCGAAATTAAGACTTTTTGCACACGCGCGCGCGCGCGCGCGTTCCCCTTTCCCCCTTCTTTTTCTCTTGCCGCCGACGATTTATGAAATCGTTCCGACCGTACGTAAGGGCGCCGTTTTGAACTTGTAGAACCAAGATCACTACCACTCATAACGGCCGAACAAACACGATGCACCCTCGCGCAGTGAATTCTAGCGCGGAATAGCGGTTCGATAGACGTAACCCTTGTGTAACGACTTACGACGGTCGTTAGCTCTAATGGCGAAAGAGGAAACCGCGCGGTAAGTCTTTTTTATTGTCCCCGACAGTGGCTCTTCTGTAGACGGAGATATATATATATATATATATATATATCTCCGTCTATATATATATATATCGTCCATCGGTTTCAAAAAGCTATATACTTTTGCTCGGTGGAAAGTTAGGGAGAGAGAGAAAGGGGAGAGGAAGAGAGATATGTGATAACGATGCTCGGCAAATAGATGCGATCGATCGCGTTAACAATATTCCCGAACGCTTCCATTCTTCACCGTCATTAACAATTCAACCGCGCACAAAATTAACTTCGAATTAGTAAGACCATGGCCCATTGATCTCGCGCGGTCTGTGAATGCAAGAGCTGCGGATACGGAGATCTCTCGGAGTTCGAGGATTCGCTCAACATCAACAGTAGGATTTTTTCCGAGCCGGATCTATTCTCGATCGAGTTTTTTTTCTTATCAAATGTAATTTACATGTGTCCTTCTTTCTAACGGATATTTTTCCTAGTTTTATTTACTTTTTATATATTTTATAATTTTACATATTATATTATTATTTATTGTACTTTGTAAAAACAGCGCTGAAGATGATCAACCAATAAATTGTTTTTTTTTTTTTTTTATTGAAACGTCCCGGAATACACTGCGTTTGTGTCAAACGTTCGAACGTCCATCTCTAACCCGGACCATAGGCTCTGTGGTTTTTTTTCCTTCTTATAATTATTTTCTTATCGATTTGAAAATCGAACTGTCTATCGAATGTCCAGTAATTAATCTTTGAATGAAATTGCACATAAAAAATATAGAATAAAAATTTACCTCTTCTGAAAACATCCGCTACAGATATTACAGCTATCATTTCTATCTCTTTACATCTTCTTGCGGGAGAATTCGTGATGCAACTTTAGTTCGATGATAAGTTAAAAAAAAAAAAAAAAACAATCAAATAGAAAAAAACACATAAATAGAGAACGAATCTATCCAAATAGTTACCTTACAGATCATATACTGAGTGAAAGAATATTATTTGAAGACAGGTTGTACCCACTGTCCATTGATGTCTTCTTTTTTATTCAATTGTTTTTTTTTTTTTTTTTGTAACTCTGGTTTCATTTTCAACCTTCTTCGTCATTACATTGCGGCGATTATCTCGTCAAAATAATTTTACTCGATTATATTTCGCGCGCGTGACAAAACGCGATTGTTAAGTAAATTACATTTCTATTACGTGGAGGACTTCCGTTTCCGGTTTGACAGTGAATGTTTGGAGTGGAAAGAAGTGGATGAATTAAGAGGAGAGAAGAAAGATCATGGCAATTAGAAGTGTGTATGTGAGAAAGTGGAAAGAAGAGTGCGAGAAGACAGAGGGAAGAAAGGTGAGAGGAATAGCAGGAATTTGGAAATATAAATGAGATTGGAGATTAGAGACAAGAGGATAAGAGGGAAAGTAGCATAGGTAGCGCGAATAGCGGCGGGTAAGGAAAATGTGAGCGGGAGTTGCGGGAGTTTTGAAAGGAAATAGGAACAGAGTTGAAGAAGGAAGGAGGGAAAACAGAGGGAAGATGGGAGATAGAGGAAAGAAAAGATAGCAGCACAGGAGAGGTAGTATCGTATTTGAAAAAAGATAAGAATGCGGATAAGGTGCTGAAGGAATGAATATTTACAAGAAAGAGGGAAAGAGAAGATGAATATTTACAAGAAAAAGAGGGAAAGAGAAGATAGTAGGGATCTTGGAACGGGCGAGGAAGATCAAGGAGGGAAAGAGAGACGTTTCGAAAGAAGAGAGTAATAAAATAATCAGATCGCCAATAAAGAGGTACGATCCCCGAAGATGTCAAATAGAGAAAGAGAGTTTATGGATAGTTGGCTAGAGATATTAGCAAAGAAGGAAAACGAGTTAAAGAAGAAGTAATTAGAAAAAAGAAAGAGAAGAAGAAAGTATAAATAGGGTTAGAAAAATTGAAGAGTCAAGGGATAGGTTAATGGAAATGAAAGGGTTAAGGGAAGAATTTAGAAGGGAGATAGAGAATGTTAAAAAAGAAATGAGGGAGAAAGAGGAGATGGCGAAAAGAGAACTAGAAAGTACATAAAAGAAGAATGAAGAGTAAAAAGGAAAAGAAATGGGAAGAGGAGAAGAAGATATTTAAAGATAAGATAAAATCTTTAGAAGGAGAAAAAAGGATAGAGTGTTAAAGCTATAGAGAAGAAAGGATAGAAAGAAAAGAGGATATGAACGGGAAATATAAAGGAAAGATAGAAATGACAGAAGTGGAGGAGAGAGTAAGAGATCTCTAGAAAGAGAAAATTAGAGATAAAGGAGAGGAAAAAAAAGAGAAAGAGAAATATAGTATACAGTCAAAAACCTCGATAACTCGAACCTCTACAACTCGAAAACCTCTGTAAGACGAAAATGTTCATTCCCTTCGAAAATGTTTGTTCCCTTTTCCTTCGAAAAGGGAACTTTGATAAGTCGAAACCTCTACAACTCGAAGATTTTAGCTCTTCCCTTGAGATTCGAGTTATCGAGGTTTGACTGTGATAAGAAGAATAAAGGCGAAGGGGGTGGAAAAGAGAAGGAGGAAGTGGAGCTGGATTTGAAAGAAATAAGGGCGCAGGTAGAGATCGAAAAGGTTAGAAAATTTGGATTAGAGGAAATGAGGAAAACGCGAGTGTATAGTGACAATGGAGTTAGGGAATATGATGCAGAAAAAAGAGGCAATAGAAAAAGAAAAGAAAGTTAAAAAGGAAAAGTGAAAGAATAGTAGATTGATTTAAACGTGGAAGGAAAGAAAGATGCAGTGGAAAAACTAAGGGAAATAGCTAGGTAGGAGAGAAAATTAAGATCAAAAAAGTATACGTATAAAATATGGGAGAGTACTGATTGAAGGGAAATGGTGGAGAGATGGGATGAGGAGAAAAATATACTAAAATTGGAAGAAAAGCCAGCAAAGAGAATGAATAGGGAAATAAGATAAAAGGAAGAGAAAAAACAAGAGAGAAAATGTGGAAGGCAAAGAGAAAGAGAGAGAAGGAGAGAGAGAGCGAAAGAAAGAAGAAGAAAGAGAGAAAGTAAATAAGTAGATAAAGAAGGACGGGAAAAGTGGAGAGATAGAGAGGGTGAGAGGATTAAAGAGAGAGGGAAAGAGAGAGAGAGAGTGAGATTGAGAGTGAGAGTGAGAGTGGAAACGGAGGTCCTCTTTTGCTTACGTAATGGATAGAAAAAAGATCTACAAAGGTAAAATACGGCGTGCAAAAATAGGTTAAAAACGTGTGTGTGTGTGTGTGTAAATTTAGAAAAGAGGAAGATAGGTTTAATGTTAAGTTAATGGTTAAGATAGATGTAGGTTAGCATAAGGTAGTTAGTAAGGTAGTTGTAAGTTAAAGATAAAAGTGGTTTGTATGGGAAAATTGTAACCCCGAGAGGGGGGAATATCAATAAAGATTACATACATATTGCTATTACGTGACGCTTATATAAAAATTCGTGCGTATTAATTTAATTTTTATTCGCGTTATGTCTAACGCGAGGCAAGTTCGTTAACGAGCTATCTCTTCTTTTCCTTCTTTCTTTCTCTTTTTCTCTTCTCTCATTCAATACGTACGTTTTAGAAGATCCGCGTATAAATACAGATAAAACGTACTTTTTTTTTTTTTTTTTTCGAGAAATGGTGTAAAAAAATAAAGCGACACAAGATTTGTTAAAATAAGTTGGAATCTTCTGACACTCTATCCCTATCCATCATGTACGGTCGCGTTCCACCGATGTATATTGACAGGCATCGAGCTTTTTAAGTGATTTTCCTGACCTGTCTGTAAAACTCGTTGAAAATAGAAATGTCCGATGGCAAAATTTTTCCTCCGGAGAGAGAGGCAGCGGCGGCGGCGGCGGCGGCTTGTTGTGCGCAACACTCCGTCAATTCGTCACTGTCGGCCGTAAGGCACTCCCGTCGGCCCCATACATCTCTCTTCATAAGAGAAGTAATCTGTGCGGGAAAAAAAGAAATCTTACTGCAAAAGATATCCATAAAAGCATTTTCGTCCGAATTTCTCTCTCTCTCTCTCTCTCTCTCTCTCTCTCTCTCTTTCTCTCTCTTTCTCTCTCTCATAAACTCTACCCGCATCCACTTTTTGCAGATCCTCGCTTAGAAGCAGCCGCGCGACAAAAAGACAAGTCGTTAGTTCCGCACGAAATAACCATTTGTTATCTCCATTCGTTTTGCCCGACGGCCATATCCAGACTTCTGTTGACGTGTTTACGTTCGCAGGGAACACACCGCATATCCGCGACGTTTCGAAGGCGCGGCGACGAAGGGATCGGACGTGAAAATCGAACTACAATTTCGAAGCCGGACAAGTTTGACGGTTTTATATCTCCGATTTCGAAAATTAAGATATCGCCGCACACAATATCGAATTATTCGCGTATTCTCTTCTCGTAACGTTCGGGGGTTTTATCACACATTTTTTTTTTATCGGAATCAGAATTTTAATTAAAGCACGTTATATAACGATTTTTTTCCCACTCATTTCTTTTGGTAAGAAACATTTTTTGTTTTTTTTTTTAATAAGAAAAGAAGAATTTTACAACGTCTGACGTTACAGAAATTCTTGGCTCGACGGATTTTTATGAGTTTTTCTTGTGAACATTTTTAATAAAAAGACACACACATATTTCGCGTTATCGGAGAATTTTTCTGATATAAAGATTAAATTTAGAAAAGTGTTATCCTTCAAGTTCGACTCGTTGCGCGCCATTTTTCATATCGACGTGTAACATTCTTTTTCATTCCCGAAACCGGGATGATCTTAATTAAAAAGTCTATTGTTTCACGTGTTTTAATTAAACTTTGTCGCAATGAAGGTGAAAGAAATAATAAAAATTACTCCGTACTTATATCATCAACATCGCGTGGTCGTGATTAATTGAAAACATTTAAGATTTTCGATTTGCACGCGGTCGTGGCGCGAGAACAATCGCGATTATCCGAATGCAAAGTCTGCAAACAAAGCGCCGTTATCTGTTCAAAGTCGCAAAAAAAAAAAAAAAAAGAAAAAAGAAAAATGATTAACAATCTTCATTCAGAATGACAACGTCACGGTGGCGAAACGCGCGGCGGATCGGCTTGCTTGCGCGTGGCTTGACGTTTATGGTAGATGAAGATAGTAGGACACACAGTGCGTATTTTGTCAAGGAACGTTCTCGGAAAATAATCCGAGAGGGCGAGCGCGCCCGCGAGCGGAATATCCTTCCGCTCTTATTACGGGGACAGAATAGCACGCGCGCGCGGACTATAGAAATGTTTGTCGTGCTGGCAAATATAGAGACGCGGCGGCGTCTGTGTTCTGTTGCGGCTCGATCTCGAAAAGAATTGAGATTCAGCAACACGTGCGAACGCAATTACATTTCCATCTTCGTTGCCCCGTCGGAGTCTATTGTTTCGACAATGCAATAGTTGCATAGTTTACGCTGACTCTTTCGCGTTGCATATTTCGAGAAATTTCGGCCTCACCGGCCATTGTTCGGCTAATTTCAGCGGAAATTCTCGCGGGTGTGTAAAGAGAGAATGTACACTTTATACAAACGTAATAATCCTAGGTAAACGCTCGTCAGACATGTAAATACTGTTATAACCGCGAAATGTGCGCTATCGCGGTTGAGATGATTGCGAAAAATTTTTACGATCGTCGCGGAACAGCCGCGCAATTGTGAACTCATAATTTGCTTCGCGAACGTATTTGTTTTTTTTTTTTCTTTTGTTTGTTTTTTTCTTTTTTTTTAAACTCGTACGCAGTACAGTTTATACGTTTCTTTAATTGGATTTATTCTGTGCCGAATTGCTGAGGAAAATCTGATTTAGAGCGCGCGTGCGACTATTGTTGTGCGGAGCGAGAGCACACACAAAACTGCTATACCGAAATTGGATTTTTTTCCGCGGAACGAATAGTTCAATCGCGCGACACTCGGTGGGCGATAAATACAGTTTATTGTGCGGCCGTGAGTCATATAAGAAGCTAATCGGATCCTGAACGGATTAGCACAAATCAGGATCTTCAAATCCTTCCCAAGTCGTATTTCTTCGGAGAGTTGGAGTTCTCTTATTTTATTCGATTCACACACTCTCTTCTGTATTTTTCGATATATACAGGGTGTTTCAGAACTATGGGATCAAACTTCTAGGGGTTATTCAGTGCAACAGTAGAAAACATTTGAGTATAGGGACCCATGTCCGGAAAAGTGTCACTACCGCACTACGGCCCTAAGACGCGTTAAAATTTAGAAAGAC